CCGATATAATACAAAACTTGTCAGATATGTTGTACCGACATAATACACATGCAAAAAGTTTCTTAATGGCTAGACAATGGCTTAATCAAAGCAATGTTCATAACTTGAAACTCAAATTAATATCCACAAGATCTACTGATGGAAGATTGTATAATCAACCAACTGTTTCAGAAGTGGTTACTTTAATCGTTGGTGACATGGACACTGCTGAGGAAAGAGACATTATAGTGCAGGCCAAAGGTGGACAACTGCAACGTATTGATGAGTTTCATCCAATTTATTTGGCATTCCAGTATCCTTTGATTTTTCCTTATGGAGAGGATGGTTATAGAGATAACATTGCACATAGAGATCTTGATATTTTTGATGACTCTCAAAGGAATCGACTCACTATTCGAGAATGGCTAGCATTTAAAATACAAAGTAGGTGTAATGAGGCAAAAACTTTGTTATCATCTAGGAGATTGTTCCAACAGTTTTTGGTGGATGGTTACACAATGCTTAAAGGAGAGAGATTGAATTGGATCAGAAAAAATCAATCCAAGCTAAGAGTGTCAAAGTATATAAGTCTACATTCAGAGCAAGATCAAACACAAGGATCAAGCATAGGGAAAAGAGTCGTTTTTACCATCATCTTATGTTGGAAGTAGAAGATTTATGGATTAATTGTATTATGATGGCATGACTATTTGTAGTAAGGTGGGATTTCCGGATCTTTTCATTACTTTCACATGCAACCCAAATTGGCCGGAAATTCAAAGACTGCTTGGTCCTCTAAATTTGAAGCCACAAGATAGACCTGATGTTATTGCAAGAGTTTTTAAGATGAAGTTTGATAACCTTCTAGCAGATGTGACCAAAAAAGGAGTCTTAGGCAAAGTTCTTGCATGTAAGTTTACTATGTCATATCAATTGCTTTAACTTACTATCCTTTAAAATTATCTAGGCATTTCAAGCTAGACATGACATGTTACAACATATTTATCTTACAATTGTTCTTATTTTCATATATGTACGCAACTGAGTTCCAAAAGAGAGGTCTTCCGCACGCGCACATTCTTATCTTCTTGCATCCATCAAATAAATATCCTACTTCTGAAGATATAGACAAAATCATTTATGTTGAAGTTCCTAATCCTTTGAGTCAACCAAGACTGTATAATCTGGTCAAAACTCACATGGTGCATGGTCCTAGTGGGTTAGCAAATCCTAGATGTCCTTGTATGGAAGATGGTAAGTGTTCCAAGTATTATCCTAAAAAGTTCCAAGATGTCACAATTGTTGATCAAGATGGATATCCTGTTTATAGAAGGAGAGATCTGGGTAATACAATTGAAAAGAATGGAGTCACCCTACATAGTGGTCACGTTGTACCCCACAACCTAAGTTTGCTAATGAAATATGAGGCACACATTAATATGGAGTGGTGAAATCAAAGTACTTCAATTAAATATCTCTTCAAGTACATCAACAAGGGTTCTAATAGGATCTCGGCTGTTATTGTTCCAAACAACACTGGAACCGATGGAAATATTGATGAAATCAAACAATACCTTGATTGTCGATATGTCTCACCAAGCAAAGCATGCTGGAGAATCTTCTCTTATTCAATTCATGGCAGGAAACCAGCTGTTGAAAGGTTATTTTTTCACATGGAAGGAGAGAATTTTGTATACTACAAAGATTTTGAACAAATTGGAACTCTCCTTCTTAAACCAAGTGTCACAGAATCAATGTTTACTTCTTGGTTTGTGGCAAATACTCAGTATGAAGAAGCAAAGTTATTAACATATGGTCAATTTGTGCCCAAGTTTGTTTATGAAAAGAAGAAAAGGTGTTGGAAACCGCGTAAAAGAGGTTACACAATTGGCCGACTAATTTGGGTCCCGCCAACAACTGGAGAATTGTATTATATGAGGATGTTGTTGACTATGAAAAAAGGTCCGACAAGTTATGATGATTTAAAGACAATTGATGGGTTCAAACACAAAAGTTTTAGAGAGGTATATTTTGCATTGGGCTTCCTACAAGATGACAAAGAGTTCATTGACGCAATTAAAGAGGCTTATAACTGGGGTTCTGGAGTATTTTTGCGCAAACTGTTTGTTACAATGTTATTATCATCTTCAATGAATCGACCAGAACATGTTTGGTTAAATACTTGGATGTACCTATCAGATGGTATTCTATATGAACAAAGAATATTGTCACAAAATCCAGGTTTGATTATTATATATTTGCTGCTTCTTTGTAACAACATATTTTCTTTTATCCTCTTCATCTTATTGTTTAGAACTATGTTACTCACAACACTATGGATTATATACATGACCCTTTTAACAAAGTATAAATACTTACTTAACTTCTACCTTTATTTGTAGAATTGAATTTTTTTGATGAAGAGGTGCAACAACTCACTTTGATGGAAATTGAGAAGCAACTATAGAAAAATAGAAGGAGTTTGAAAGAATTTAAGCCTATGCCATATCCAAATGATTACATCCTTGACTTCCTTGGAAATAGATTGATATATGATGAAAGACAATATGATCCCTCGGTTCAAGAAGAAATTTTCCATACTATGTTTCAATCATTAACCGGTGTTGTTTTTATAATTTGACATTCTAATTATTTATTGAAACAATATCCGAAATTTATGCTTTTCTTTTATCGCCTCGAATGAGCCTTATAAGGAAGTCTATAATTATTAGCACAAAACTACATAAGTATAAATGCTAATCACATTGATATGGTCATTGTTGTCATTATGTTCTCAAGATTTGAAAATTTCACAGATTTGGTTATTTAAATTGTTTTCATGATGCAACGTTAGTGGTGTTTTGTTTTTTTATTGTAGGTGAGCAGCTTAAAATCTTTAAAGAAGTTATGGATGTTGTCACAAATCAAAATGGTGGTGTTTTTTTTCCTATATGGTTATGGTGGTACAGGAAAGACTTTCATGTGGAACACATTGTTTGCTGCTCTGCGTTATAAAGGAGATATTGTGTTGAATGTAGCATCTAGCGGAATACCAAGTTTGTTGTTACCAGGAGGAAGAACTGCACAGTCCAAATTCAAGATTCTAGTTCCATGTTTGGAATCTTCTATATGTAACATAGAGAAAAATTCTGATCTTGCCAATCTCTTAAAGGTAACAAAACTAATAATATGGGATGAGGCACCAATGGCAAATAAATATTGTTTTGAAGCTCTTGATAAGTCATTGAAGGATATTATGAGTGATGACGATGTTGAGTGTCAGCAGATTTTTGGGGGAAAAGTTGTAGTTTTTGGTGGAGATTTCAGACAAATTCTACCAGTTGTTCCAAGAGGTACTAGATCAGATATAGTACATGCAACGATAAATGCCTCTTACATTTGGGATCATTGCAAAGTAATGAATCTAACCAAAAATATGTGTTTGCAAAGTGGTTCTAATTTAGGCAATTCAGAAGAAATTAGACTTTTCTCAGATTGGATTTTACAAGTTGGTAATGGAAAGGTCTCAGAACCCAATGATGGATATGCTGAAATTGATATTCTTGAAGAGTTACTTATAAGAGATTTTGTGGACCCAATTGAAGTAATTGTTTCAAGTACCTATCCAAATCTGCTTCAAAATTACACGGATCCAAATTTTCTTCGGTGTAGAGCTATTCTAACATCAACTATTGAAATAGTTGATGACATAAATGACTTCATAACTAATCTTCTTCCAGGTATACTTCATTTTCTATTATAACTATATTTTTTTATTATTTCATACAATGTGTCTTTGGATGTACATATGTATATATTATTTTGATATGTACATACTACTATATTATTTTTTCATACTATTTTTTATACATACCTGTTATTCTGTTATATATATACTAATACTTAATTTTAATTTCATGTAGGTGAATCTAAAGAATATTTGAGTTGTGATTCCATTGATAGATCAGAAGCTAATGACAATTATGCTTTCGAGCATTTGACACCATAATTTTTGAGTTGTCTAAAAACGCCTGGTTTGCCTAACCACTTATTGAAATTGAGGGCTGGTACAATCATCATGTTGATAAGAAATTTGGATCAATCTGAAGGCCTTTGTAATGGTACAAGGTTAACCATTACAAAGTTAGACAATCATGTCATTGAAGCAAAGATCATTTCAGGTACAAATATTGGAAACATTATTTATATCCCGAGAATGTTTTTGTCTCCTTCCCAATCTCCATGGCCATTTAAACTTATCAGAAGACAATTCCCAATTATAGTGTCATTTGCTATGACAATCAACAAATCTCAAGGACAATCGTTGGACTATGTTGGATTATATTTGCCAAAGAATGTTTTCAGTCATGGACAAATTTATGTTGCCATTTCAAGGGTTAAGAGCAAAGCTGGATTGAAAGTTTTAATACACGACAAAGACAATAACTACTTAACTCAAACAACAAATGTGGTCTTCAAGGAAGTTTTCCACAATGTCATATAGGTACATATTTAGTTTTTGAATAAGATTATTTTTTCTTACTATCAATACTAAAATCTTCATCTCTATATTTATCTTCAAGTAAAATAATTTGATACTCAAATTTATATTTCACTTCATACTTATATAATTCATTCTTTCAACATCTCATATTTTTTTAGATAGTTCTAATATTTTATTATTTATTAATTTTATTTTATATTTGTAGGTTTTGTAATCTCCACTCTTACTTCATACAAGTCTTACGACATCATTTCAATCTATAATGTTATTTGCACTTTGTTACTAAATTTCTTTTGTTGGACATACTATAATTTAAATATTAAAAATTATTATATTTTTATGACATTAAATATATCCGCTATTATGAAATTTAAAAACCGCAAGGTCTGCTACTAGTTAGAAATAAAAGAAAGGATAAAAATAAAATATGAAAGCGGTTTGTGGTATACAATTGAAGTACATCGATATGAGGTGAAGTGGTGAAGCTTTATCTCCCACAAAGACAAACCGACTTGTTATGGTTATGGCCACTTTTGCAACCAGAGGAATTGGAGTCGCAAAGCTCCATGACCCCTACAATCCCAACCTTAAATCTCTCTTTCTTGGCCAAACACTTAGAATCAAACCCTCAATTAATAATCAACAACCACCATGCAGTGGCAAATTCTCAACCCCAAAAGCGTTTCATGGGGGTGAATGGCTTCACTCAGTTCACAACCTATTTGTTGGTGTTGGGGTTGGACTTCCCTGCACTGTCATGGAGTGTGGGGACATGATTTACAGAAGCACTCTTCCTAAGCCTAGTGGGTTGACACTTACTATCCCAGGCGTTGTTCTTGCTTTTGGTGCTCTCTCATATCTTTGGGCTACACCTGGTGTTGCTCCGGGTTTCTTTGATATGTTTGTTCTTGCTTTTGTTGAAAGGTTGTTTAGACCCACTTTCAGAAAGGTTTGTCAATTTAGATAGAACATATTCTCTATCCATCAACTATTACTACGGAATTCTGTTTATTTATTTTATTATTGGTGCAGGATGATTTTGTTCTAGGGAAGAAGCTGGGAGAGGGATCATTTGGAGTTGTTTATAGAGTCACCCTAGCTAACAAGCCCTCTTCAAAGGTACTACTATTATTATGTATTTCGATTCTTTGTTATGGTTTTGCGATGGTGAAGTAAGTGTTAGAGAACGGAATCCGAGTCCAATTATTATAGATTCTATTCTAGTTATATAAGTTCCTCAACTATTTAATGTTTTACTTGCACTTAATTTTTGGGTCTATGTATTGTGAGCATATTTGAAGGTTTGAATTCTTAGAGAACAAAATGAAGAAAATCAACTTGTTTGGTATGGCATATGTGCTTGTGCGATTTCAGGTCATTTCAGATGTATAATTATGATACTTATGATACTTTTTGCTTCTCACTGAAAGGAAGGTGACTTAGTCTTGAAGAAAGCCACTGAATACGGCGCTGTAGAAATTTGGATGAATGAGCGAGTACGAAGAGCTTGTGCAAACAGCTGTGCAGATTTTGTTTATGGTTTTCTTGAGGTGATGCTCAGTTAAAAATCAATACTTCTTAATGATTGTCTGGTATTATCACTTTTGTACTTGTACGGGAAAATTGAAGGCATTCTCAGTCACATCATTTAGCATTTTAGTTTTGGTTATGACAAATACTTATGTTCTCACTTGTTATTTGTAGAGGTCTACAAAGAAGACTCCTGAATATTGGCTTATATGGCAGTTTGAAGGAGATGCCACCTTAGCTGATCTATTGCAGAGTAGAGATTTTCCTTACAATGTTGGTAGTTTTGTTAATCGACATGATAATCTCAGTATTTTAGCCTCAAGTTTTATAACCAAGTTTATATGTCGGAGGATCAACTATTAGTCTTTCGTCTGCGACAATATGTTTCATATTCCTCAACTTAAATTCATGTTAATTTTTCCTGTCAGAAAAAGTTCTACTTAAATTTTATGCCTCATTGGTTATTTATAATCGCTAAAGGTCGTTGGTATCAGCCCTGGTGACGGTGCTAAAAATTTCAGGTTGAAACATTGATTCTTGGTGAGGTACAAGATTTGCCTAAAGGATTGGAAAGAGAAAATAGAATTATTCAAACAATCATAAGACAACTCTTGTTTGCATTAGACGGTCTTCACTCAACTGGTATTGTGCATAGGGATATTAAGCCACAGAACATTATTTTCTCTGAAGGTAAAGAGTCTAAAGACGGCATAACTTTTTCGAATAACAAAGTATTTCTATGCTTTAATTTATTTATTAACCATGGTGCCAGGGTCTCGTACATTCAAAATAATTGATCTTGGAGCTGCTACAGATTTGCGAGTTGGCATCAACTATATTCCTAAGGAGTTTCTTTTGGATCCAAGGTACCTTCAAATGACTTCAAACTTACTACACTGCTTGAAGTTTCTGTTTCATCTTCATAATTAATTCATTAATGGACACTTTCGTTTTTCTTATGTACAATCTTATTTGATAGTTGAAAATTTTCCCATCTAATTCATATAAATGTTGATTGAGAGATTGAAGAACAAGTATTCTATCTAATATTCCATTTGATATCCTTATAATTTGTACAAGAGATGATTAGAACTGCTTAGATTATTAGGTTCCTTGATTACTCGAAATAGAAAATGTGCTGTGTTATATATCCGCTCCTTGAATCTAATTGAAGAAAATTCTTGTTGTGTACAATCCTTCTATTTCAGATATGCTGCACCAGAGCAGTACATTATGAGCACACAAACTCCATCTGCACCCTCAGCTCCGGTTGCTACTGCACTCTCTCCAGTCTTATGGCAGGTTAAACTGTTCTTACAAACCGTCTGCGATTAATAATATCACATAGATAAATTTCTTTATCATCTAATGATGTTATCCTACGTTGCTTATGATGGTTTTCTTGTTTCAAACAGTTGAATCTTCCTGACAGATTCGATATCTACAGTACTGGTCTAATATTTCTCCAAATGGTGAGTATCAAATAATGAGGAAACTGATCATTATCTTCTGTTGCTCTTATTTGAATCAAACTGGTATTCTATTCTATATTGCTCACAATTTTGACCACTCTCATATAGGCATTTCCTGGTCTGCGCACTGATAATAGTCTCATACAATTCAACCGTCAATTGAAGAGGTGTGACTATGACTTGGTTGCATGGAGAAAAACTGTCGAGCCTCGATGTGGTAGTGAACTTAGGAGGGGCTTTGAGCTGTTAGATTTAGATGGTGGAATAGGTTGGGAACTTCTGACTTCAATGGTTCGATACAAAGCAAGGCAAAGGCTGAGTGCAAAAGCAGCATTAGCTCATCCCTACTTTGACAAAGAAGGTTTGCTGGCGCTATCTTTTATGCAAAATTTGAGGCTACGGTTCTTTCGAGCTACCCAGCAGGATTATGGAGAAGCTGCCAAGTGGATTATTCAACTTATGGCAAGATCAGGAACACAAAAGGATGGCGGATTCACTGAAGCTCAGCTCCAGGAACTTAGAGTATGTATCTTAATTCTGCAATCACATGGTCACACTCACACCACCTTTCTTTAAGACATAAGCTCTTATCAATCATTTTTTGTATTGTAGGAAATTGTGCCCAAGAAAAAATCTGGTGCAAAGAGAAATGCTCTAGCTTCAGCTCTTAAAGTACAGAGGAAAATTATAAAAACCTTAAATGAGAGTATGGATGAGCTCAGCAGAAACAGGAAAAGCATTTGGTGGAGAAGATGGATCCCAAGAGAGGAATGAAAGTTGTAAATACATAATGCCCTTTATTTCAAAACTGTTGTCTATAGTTTGTATATCAAAATCAATTATCTTGTTCAGATAGAGCAATGTTCTATACGAAATTATGAATAGAAATGAAACTGACTTAAATGTTATATAATATATAGCTGAAACAAAGTGGAATCTGATAGATATGACATATATAACTGAAAAAATAATGTTCCGTAAAACGCATATTTTTCAAGTCATTCAATTATATTTTATTGGTTATAATTTACGTGGGTCTTATTTAATAATAAGAGATCTACATAATTTGGTTTGGTCTTGATTGCAACTCATCATCCAATAATTAACTTTGTCGAATCCTTTCCTTCAAATTCGAAGTAACAGCCAAATTTTCTATCATCACCATTATGAGTCCACGTAAATTGAAGATTAAGATTCTTGAATTTTTTCAATAGATCATATTCCAACATCATTAACTCGGCCTTATATGTTTCTTTTCGACTTAATGCATCCACTACTTTATTCTTTTTATCAAATGGTACTTTAATACAAGCTCAAAATCTTTCAACTATTGCATCCATCTTCTTTGCCGTATGTTTAGTTCTTTATGGTCTAAAAGGTATTTTAAACTCTTGTGGTTGCTAAACATTTTAAAATGTACTCCATACAAAAAATAGTGCCACACCTTCAAGATGAACAGAATAGCTGTTAATTCAAAGTCATGCATCAGATAGTTCTCTTCATGAGTTTTCAGCTGTCGATACACATATGCCACCAATTGGCTATCTTGCATCAAAACTCCACTTAAACCTTTCTTTGAGGCATCACAAAACACAAAACACTTTGTATGGTTTGATAGGATATGGAATTATTGACACATGTGTGATAGTCAACTTTTCCTTTAACTTGTAGAAACTTTGTTCACACTTTGAATTTCATCCGAAAGGAATCTCCTTTCGAGTAAGTTTGGTCATGGGTAAGGTCATCTGCGAGAACCCTTGGATAAACTTTCTTTAATAACCCACTAATCCTTAGAAGCTTCTGAATTCCAATGCATTCTTCGATCTTTTCCAATCAATAACTACTTCAATCTTAGATGGATCTACTGCAACTCCTCCCTGCGATACAACATGATCAAGAAAATTCACTCCGGTCATCCAAAACTCACACTTACTAAGTTTTTCAAAGACTTGCTTCTCTTGTAGCACAGATAAGACAATCCTCAAATGTTCCTGATGCTCCTGTTGAGTACGAGAGCAGATAAGGATATCATCGATGAATATCATTATACACTGGCCCAAGTAAGGTTGGAATATCTGATTCATATAATCCATAAAAACAGCAGATGCATTCGTCACTCCAAACAACATCACAAGGAATTCATAATGACAATATCGGGTTCTAAATGTAGTCTTTGGGGTGTCAAAATTCTTGACTCAAATCTGATGACCTGAACGCGAATCAATCATGAAGAACACACGAGCTCCTTTCAATTGATCTAGAAGATCGTCTATCCGAGGTAAGGGATACTTATTTTTTATGGTAACCATATTCAACTGAAGTTAATTAATGCTCAAACACATTCCCTCGTATTTCTTCTTCACCAAAAACACTGGGGCTTCGCACGGTGACACACACTCAGACAAACAAAATGCTTCTACGATAAATCCTCCAATTGATTCTACAATTTTCTAAGTTCGATTGGTGTCATTCGATAAGGAGCAACAAAGATTGGGGCAATTCATGGCACAAGATCGATAGAGAATTCCAGTTCTCTCTCTAGAGGAAGAGAAGTGACGTCCTCAGGAAAAACTTCTGGAAATTCACAGAGTTCCCGTCGAACTTTATTTATTCCAGAGGTAAGGGAAAATATCAACAAAAACACAAAAAGTTAAAGAAAATGGTCATCGCAACCAAGAGCAAGTTCAGAAGTCAGTTATGCAAGGGAAAGGTATTAGAATCTCTCACATCTATTGTACTCAACGGGAACCGTTTTGATTGTTCTTCCACAGATGAGTGTCTTTATCTAAAGGTTACTTGAGAGAGGAAAAAAAGGTTTATAAATTAGTGTGCTCGCCAAGATCTCGCAATCCTGTGCCTATGTATCATCATGGTGCAATAAGGAAATCATAGCTCCATAGTTCGGGGTAGAATATAAGTGTTTATTGATTTTTTTTAGTGAACATTATTAACGTTCGGGTTTTAGCAGTTAAACATTGTTTGTATGCTCGCGCGTGAGATATTTAAGTGTTGTTTGTATTGCGGTAGAACAGAAATAGCATGTCCCGCATCCAAAGATATTCAGAATGAGGGTAGGAATACTTCCTCTCATACTTCTCTTTTACTTATGTTCCGTGGTGCATTTAAGTGTTTTTTTGTTGATTTTATTTTGCAAAAATGGTATTGGTCTTAAAGGAAAAGAAAAAAAAAAGGAAGAAAGCCCAAAGGTCATGGTCTTGATATCGAGTGTGCCTGTAGCGTTTGTATGGAAGAAATTTTTTCAGTTATTTGACTTAAATTGTACTAAAGTCTATGAACGAATGCAAATTGTAGATGTTTTGATTGGCTGCATTTTATGGTAAAACAATGCTGTGTATGTAGATGTCATGACATGCTGGTGTAGTGTTCTGCAGAGTAAGTTTGCTTTGTTAGAGCAAAGTGTATTGAATGTCATACTGAATGTCATGACATCAGGTAGCTGACATCAAGGGCGTGTGTTTTAGTTTTCTGGTATATTGCATGAGGAAGCTCAAGCTATACTTTAGGAAACATTTTAGGGATCCTAGTTATCTCAGGCGAAATGCTAGGCAGTGCTGAGCATAACAGGAAATTCCTATGACCTAATTAAAAGTGTGCTGATTTATGAAAAGAAGTTTAACTTAGTTAAACCTAATTTTTGCACTTAGGTCCAAGATCTTTCTGCTGCTTATAAATAACAAAGTAGCAATCCTAATGGAAGACAAGTGTTTTGACAGAGAGTTTACAGGGAGTTTTGTGAGTGAAGAACTCAGTCTGTGTACTACGATCTTCACGTGTGTGTTTGTGTCTTAGGACTTCTTGTGAGCCAATCAATTGTCTGTTGTATGATTGCATTGGACTAGTGTTTTTGAGTTGTATGTTAATTGTGTCACTCTATGCTTTTAAGCACGAGTGTTGTGTCTCTTGATTGAAGCTGTGAAGCAAGATCAAGACTTGTTTGAAGTGTGTCTTCATTTTAATCTGTAATTTAATTGGTTGATATCACTGCTGTGATTGAGGGGGAGTGAGCAGGAACTCAGGTCTAGTGTTAGGATGAAGTTGCATTGGGTTGGTCTTAAGTGAAGAGTGCAAACTGATAGTTTGACTCTTAATTAACACTGCTTATAGTGGATTTTCTCCATGGCTTGGTAGCCCCTAGATGTAGGTGTGATTTGCACTAATCGGGGTCAACAATTCTCTGTGTTTTTACTGCTTTCAGTTCCTGTTTTAAATTAAGTTTAATAAACTGTTATGTAGTGGATGTCATAACATCCACTGTAACATCCACTGTCTGTTACTAGAATTTCAATTGGCATCAGAGCAGACACCCTGCCTGTTATTTTCTGGGTGAGATCTAGGGAAGATAAATTCTGGTATTATGGACACGAATATAGGATTCATAAATAGACCACCAATTCTGGATGGTTCTAACTATGACTACTGGAAACCGCGGATGATAGCCTTCTTGAGGTCTCTGGATAGCAAGGCGTGAAGAGCAGCTAACTCAGGATGGGAACATCCAGTGAAAACAGATAAAGATGGAGCAACTGTGCTAATACCTGAAGAAGAGTGGAGCAAAGAGCAAGAAGCCTTGGCTCTTGGGAATTCGAAGGCCTGAATGCTTTATTCAATGGCATAGATAAGAACATCTTCAGACTTATGCATCATTGTGAACTGGCCAAAGAGGTTTGGGATACTCTCAAAACAACTCATGAAGGTACCTCTAAGGTCAAGATGTCTAGATTACAAATGCTGACTACTAAGTTTGAGAATCTGAGAATGAAGAAGGATGAGACTATTCATGAATTCTACACGAATGTTTTAGAGATTGCCAATACTTCAGGAGCTTTAGGAGAAAAAATGTCTGAAGAAAAGTTTGTAAGGAAGATACTCAGATAATTGCCCAAGAGGTTTTCCATGAAGGTTACTGCTATTGAAGAGGCTCAAGATATCAGCAGCATGAAGGTTGATGAACTCATTGGGTCTCTACAAACCTTTGAGATGGGAATGTGTGATCATGCTGAAAAGAAGAACAAAAGCATAGCTTTTGTATCAAATATTACAGAGGACTCAGATGAAGACAATGGTGAAAGTGAGGAGAAGATGTCAGAAGCTATATCTATGCTTGGAAGATAATTCAACAGACTCATGAAAAGAATAGATAAGAAGGGCAGACCTAATGTCAAGAAAATTGCCTCTGACATCAGCAGAAGAGGTAAATATGAAGATAAGGCTAACCAAGGCAAAGGAATTTAGTGTCATGAATGTGAAGGCTATGGTCACATTAAAGCTGAATGTCCTACTTACCTTAAGAAGAAAAAGAAAGGTCTAATTGCCACCTGGTCTGATGGAGATTTTGATAGTGGATCAGAAGAAGAATCTGCAAAACATACTGCACTAACTAGTGTATGTGTGTCTGATGATGATTCTAGTGGAGATAAGATGACTTTTGATGAACTTGCAGCCTCATATAAACAGTTGTGTATCAAAAGCGCAGAAGTGTGCCAACAAGGGGAGAAGCAAAATACAATCATAAAGGAGTTAGAGGCTGAGAAGAAGGAACATCTTGCAACAATAGACTCACTCAACAGTGAAGTCAGTTTGTTGAACTCCAAACTTTATCAAATGTCAAAGTCCATCAGGATGTTAAACAATGGGACTGACAGTTTAAAGAAAATTTTGCAAGTGGGTCAAAAAGCTAGAGACATGGCTGGAATAGGCTTTGTTGGTGAACTGAGACCCATCTTGGGTTGTAAGAGGCCAAAGCCTGAAAAGCA